AGTAGCTGGGATTACAGGTGCCCGCCACCACACCCAGCTAATTTTTGTATTCTTAGTAGAGACGGGGTTTCCCCATGTTCTCCAGGCTAGTCTCGAACTCCTAACCTCGCGATCCACCCGCCCTGGCCTCCCAAAGTGCTGGGACTACAGGTGTGAGCCACCGCGCCCGGCCTGCAAATACTTATTGACCACTGACTGCCTGCCAGGCCCTTGCTCTAGGCTTCAGGATACAGAAGGGCTCAAAATAGACACAAGTCACCACTGGCAGAACTAACTGGGGAGGCAGACGGGAAGCAGGAAGTCAGGCAGCTGTGGTGGCGACACTTCCGGGAAGGGGGCAGGAGAATGAGTGACAGAGCAGGGACATTTGGCTGCTCTGGTCTGAGGTTTGGGGGACACAGAAGCCAAGACGTGAGTGGGTGGAAGGGGTTTTTCAGGCAATGGACACAGCCTGTGTAAAGGCCCCGGGGCAGGACCGCACCTAGTGTGCTGGAGGAACAGCCGGGAGGCGTGTGTGGCTGGAGCAGAGTGAGGAGGGCGAGAGAGCGAGGAGGCGAGGACAGGGCCTGTGGGCTGCGGGAAGGGCTCTGCTGTGGCCCCAAGCTGATCTGCAGCCTGGGGAGGGTCAGGAAGTCTGAGCAAGTGGGGACAGGTGGCCTGGTGTGGACAGTACTGGGAGGCAGGAGAGGGCTTGGCATGTGCCAGCCTCAGATGTTGTGCCATTGGGGTGCAGTTGGCTGCATTGCTGCACGGCCAGGGACCCTCCCAGCCCAGGATCCAGGAAGGACCACCCCGAGATCATGCAGCTAACCAGTGGGCTTGGGACCCGGCCCTGTCGCCGCCTCTGCCCGAGGTGCCCAGGACACCAGGTGGCCCAGGGGGTCGCCGTGTAGCTCTGATTCCTGCCTGCGCCCTCGTCAGGCTGTTCGAGATGAACTTGGGCCCCCCAAAGACCCTGGAGGAGCTGGATCCTGAGACCCGGGAGTACTGGCGGCTGCTGCGGAAACAGAACATCTGGCGCCACAACCGGCTGAGCAAGAACAAGAAGTTGTAGCGTGGTGGGCCCGGCCTCCCCGCCCCCTGCCCCGAGGGCTTGCCGCGTAGCCTGGTGGGCCCGGCCTCCCTCACGCCCACACTGAGGACTTGCCAGTTTCCCAGAGGACGCCGACTTTTGTGAGACAAGAGGCCTGGGTTTCCATGTGACCCCACAGTGGGGCTGGACTAGGGCCCTGGAGACCAATAAAGACCTTTCTGGGTAGACCCTGGTGCCCCTTGGTATTGTCTGGCGTCGGTCTGGCGGGAAGTGGGCCCTTCGGACCCCAGGGATCCCGGCCTCCACGCCAGCCACTGGCGGGCCGTCTGCAGGTCCCCTGTGCCTCTGGACCCTTGGTGGGCTTCTCTTCCCAACTCCTGGAGTTCCTGACACCGCCCACGAGGCCCGAGCCCCAAATCTCAAGCTGCTGGGTGAGGGGGTTGTCCTAGCTAAGCCGCTCTTGGTTGCAAGGGACTCAAACCTAACTCAAGCCGTCAGAATCAGAAAAGAGGCTTTATGAGCTTCAAGAACAGAGATGTCCGGGGGGTGGGTAACGGTGTGGCTGCAGGTGTGGCTGGATCCAGGTGCTTCCATATTCAGACCCAAGGCCCTCTCCATCTCAGGGTCCTTGGATCCCCCAGGGGCTCGCACTCATGGGCAGGGTAGCCCCAGGGCTCCTGGCTGATGTCCTCACCAGCACAGCAAGTAGAATCAGGGGGAAGGGACTGCCCTTTCCTTCCTGCCACAGTCACAGCGTGGTCCTCGATGGCCTATCCCTGGAGCCCAGGGGCTTGGGCCTTCCTTCTCCACCCCCAAGTCCTCTGTCCACTCCACTGGAGCCCAGGTCTCAACCTCCGCCCCCAGTCCACCCTCTGGAGTCTGCTTTCAGAACCCTGACCCTGACCCACAGCCAGAGTGAGGACTGGCCTCCCTGCAGTCCTAACTCCTGCCCTGCCTGGCTGTGATGAGGAGCAATGGGGCGGGATCCTGAGGGCTGGAGCGCACCAGATTGGAGGAGGTGGGGGGAGGACACCTAGTTAGGGAGTAATGGGGCCTCTTGGTGGGGGTAGATCACCTCATGGACCCCACATCCTGCAGAACCCCCAAGGGTCATGCCCTCATCCCCACCCTTGCCACAGCAGCCCCACCCATTCCTAGGTGGGTACCCTAGGGGCTTTGGGCTGGGCTCACCCACCCTCTGGCTTCCTCTGTCCACAAGCTGGATGGGCGGGGTGAGGACCCGAGGCTAATTCTTCCCGTCCCAGGGAAACCCTAACCTTCATCCTCTTAGGGAACTCTGGAGTGGAGCGGATTACCACGCACCTGCTGTCCCCGGTGGCCTCCCTGGGCAGGCGGGGGTGTGAGCACGCCTTCTCTTGCACTCACAGCAGGTGGTGCCAGCCCTGCTCCCACCCTCCTGTTATTCCCCAAGGTTCTCAGAGCAAAAATCAAAGTTATAACAGCCACTGCCCTGCCTGGCCTCCCCGTCACCTCCCTCCTCCCCCTCCTCACTCTACTCCAGCCACACGGGCCTCCTTGCTATTCTGCCAATGCACCAGGCGCGGCCCTGCCCCAGGGCCTTTGCACGGCCTATGCCTCTGCCCAGCCCCCTCCTCCCCTAGACCACCTCCCTCCCACCCCAGTCTCCACCTTCACGCCAGCCTCCCCTCCTCCAGAACTCCCTGTTACAATTGCAGCCCCTGCCACACTCCCCATCTGCCTTTCCTGGTTGTTGTTTTCTCCCTATCGCTTATCACTGAAGTCTTATGCTTTAGGTTTGTTTTTTATTTATTTGTTTTGAGTCGGGGTCTGGCTCTGTTGCACAGGCTGGAATGCAGTGGTGTGATCACAGCTCAGCCTCGACCTTCTGGGCTCAAGCAATCCTCCTGCCTCAGCTTCTCGGGTCCCTGGGATGACAAGTGTGCACCACTACACCTGGCACGTTTTAAAAATGTTTGTGGAGACTGAGTCTTGCTATGTCACCCAGACTGGTCTCAAGCAATCCTCCCACCTCAGCGTCCCAAAGCACTGGGATTACAGGCATGAGCCACCGCACCTGGCCTGGTTTAGGTTAAAAAGAAAAAAAAAATCTTTCTTGTGCTTACTGCCGTGTCCCCAGTGCCTGGTGCACAGTGACATTGGCTGGGCGTTGGGCCACAGGACTGGTGTATGAGGTGCCACCTGGAGATGGGGTGCCCCGGTGATCTGGGAGTGATCTGGGGAGCCCGGGCTGGAGATGAGGGTAGCTACTGCAGCTCCTGCCCTGGTGCCGCACTTCTGTCTCGGGGTGGCCCTGGCCAAGACTGTCCCATCCCATGGCTCAGGGCCCCTCCTGCTGCACTGGGCCAGCCATGCTTGCCAGTCACAGCGGGTTCTCAGCCCCGCGACAGCCTCCTTGCTCAGAGCTCTTGGGCAATGCAACTGGGTTGGACAGAGCAGACGCCGGCCGTGCCTCCGCAGGGCTGGAGGACATGCACGGGGCCTGGGGTCTGTGGGGACGCGAGGAACAGGGGCTGATGACGACACAGCCAGCACCAGCCCGCCTCTACACGAGGTCCCACCCTCCCTCCAGAACCTGCTGCCGTGCCTCGGATGGGGGGGCCGGTGATGGGTCTGAAAGGCAGCTTCACCCACTCCTAGCCGTGCGACCTTGGGGACCTGGCTTCCTGCCTGAGCCCCAGTTTCCCTCTCTGTAGAATGGGCTGACGGCTGTACCCGAGGTCCAGGGCGCAACGGAGAGGGGAGCGCTCACGTGGTGGGTGCACTGTGAAAGGAGACCAGGCTCGCGGGAGCTGCCGTTATTGTCATTTCGGGGGGACTGGGAGCCTGGAGAGCGGGCAGCTCTGCTGATGGGGAGTGGGAGCGGCAGAAAGATGTACACTCATCTTACAGAGTCAGCGGCCCCGCCACTCACAGCCTCATAGCCCGGGAACCTCAGAGGCCCCCACACCCCATTAACAGACGGGAGACTGAGGCCCCAGGAGGGGAGGAGGGCCCCCGTCCCTGGCCTAGGAATACTTGGGTCACCTCCTGCCTGACACTGGGGGCCGGTCCGCTGCCAGCAGGACAGGTGGCGATGGGGTGGGGGACAGGATGGGGGCGGGGGACCCAGCAGCCTGTCTCTGGTCCCGCTCCCCAGTGGTGGTGGCCTGGCCTGACCACGGTTGCTCCGTGACCTCAGCCTAGGCCAAGGCGTGGTGGCTGTCACCAGGGCACGTCTCCAGCTCTCAGGCTGAACCGAGGAGGGGGCCCAGGAGGGCAGCAGGCTCAGGCTGGCGGCCAAGCCCTGTCCAGAGCCTGTGCGTGTTCCTTGGCCAGCAGCCGCAGGGACGCCTCCTCCAGGGCGAAGCCGTCTGCGAAGGTGGGAGCAAAGGCATGAGGCCCGAAGGACGCTTGCAGCCCCGGGCCCGGGCCCAGGAGGCGGGGGAGGCCTGGCACAGCCGGCGGTCCAGGGCCCAACCAGGGCTCCAGGGGCAGCGACATGGCCGGGGGGCGGGCGAAGGGCAGCGCCGGGGCCTCAGGAAGTCTCGGGGCTGCCACGGCACCCGAACCTGACTCCAGCCGCTCCTGGCGGCGCCACTTGGCCCGGCGGTTCTGGAACCACACCTGGAGGGTGTGAGAGGGAACGGGGGGATGCTGTGAGCTCAGCTGCTCCCCGCCACTCCTTGGAGGTCCTCTGCACACCCCAGCCCTGGGGGTTCCGCCTCCCGGCTGACCCAACTCACACCTGCTGCTTTGCTGTTTCGTCCCAAGAAGATGAGGATCTCCGAAGCGTTCCCTAAGCCCAGGCTCCCCTCCAACTCCTCACTGCCCTCCTTGGTCTCCCTTGGCCCTTATCATTCAAGGCCTCCAAAGGCATCGTTACCGGCACCATTCTCTGCCTCCTCCTTCACCCACTTCACACCTGGCTCAAGGGAAACGCCTCCAACTTAACCCCTCCACGCCTTTGCACACACTGTTCAGGATGCCTAGAAAAATGCCCCTTTTCCTTCCCAGCTGGCACACTCCTACTCAAATGTCTTTGTTTTGTTTTGTTTTGTTTTGTTTTTTGAGATGGAGTCTTGCTCTGTTGCCCAGGCTGGAGTGCAGTGGCCGGATCTCAGCTCACTGCAAGCTCCGCCTGCCGGGTTCCCGCCATTCTCCTGCCTCAGCCTCCCGAGTAGCTGTGACTACAGGCATCCGCCACCTTGCCCAGCTAGTTTTTTTGTTTTTTTTTAGTAGAGACGGGGTTTCACCGTGTTAGCCAGGATGCTCTCGATCTCCTGACCTCGTGATCCGCCCGTCTCAGCCTCCCAAAGTGCTGGGATTACAGGCTTGAGCCACCGCGCCCAGCCCCAAATGTCAAAACCTCAACTCCCACACCCCCTCCTCCAGGAAGCCTTCCTAGCTTCTCTTCTGCTCATGCGCCGGGAGGGTCAGGATCTTGCTTCGCCTCCCTCCACAGGCTGTGAAAGGTGTGTGTTTTGGGGGGTGCCCTCACCTGCACGCGCACCTCAGGTAGGTGCACCTTGGCCGCCAGCTCCTCACGGCTGTAGACATCCGGGTAGTGGGAGGCCTCGAACGCCCGCTCCAGCTGGTGCAGCTGGTAGGTGGTGAAGGTGGTGCGGTTCCTCCGGTGCTTCTTCTTGGGGGCCTCCTCGCCCGGCCCCAGACTCCCACCCTCGGCCGCCGGCCCCTCGCCCGGGCTCAGGAACATGGCTCCCACCTGGCGAGACGGCAGCGGGACAGATGGCGGGGAGACGGCCGGTGGGGCTACCGGCAGGGACAGGGCAGGGGAGCCCCAGGCTTGCCTCCCGGCTCCGGGGAGATCTGTTCCCTCCACTGGGGCCGGCATGCGCTCTGCATCCCCGGGCTGTCCTCCTCGGGTTTGTGGGGGTCTCCTGCTGGGCCTCTGTCTGTTCTTCCTTCTCTGTGTGTCACCGTCCCTGTTTTCTCTTCCCCTCTCTGTGGCTGTCACGGCCTGTGTGTGTGGCGGGGGGGGGTCAAGGATGCCCCCCCCAAGTAAGGCAGGATCCCTTCTCACACCCTAAGCCCTCCACCCTGGGGGGGATCTCTGCCCCCACCACCTCCCACGCAGGCCCACCAGTGCCCACCCCGCACTCACCGCCCACGGCAGCCCCTCTGTCAATCTCCACAGGGCACCTGCCCCAGCGGGCCCGGCGCTGCGTCTGCTGTGGCCTGGCCCTGCCAGACCTGAGCCGGGTCGGGGTTGGGTGGGGGAGGATTAGCTC